GATTACTAGTACTGGGACCATTTGGTTGATCAGTACTTGTCTGTTGCTGCAGAGCAGCTATTTGCGAGCGTACAAATTGATCATTGTTAATAATTTCATTTAATTCTAATCTCAGATTGAGATCGAAACCAGGTTTGAGAGTTAAACGACCAGATTTATTTACCTTACTATTGAGACGAGACATACTTGAAGTTATTTGTATAGCAGTTTCACTGACTGCAGTCATCCAGTCAAGGCATATTTTATTGAGACGCAAGCGGATCAGTGTTGGACGTATTTTTTGAAGCATTTTGAGACGATGAGACACAATTTTTTATGCACTAAGACTTAATTTATTGAGAGGCAAGGTGGATTGAAATAGGATACAGATTGAAATATAGGTAGCCTAAAATAGCTTGTTTCTTTTCATAACAACTGTTAAGGATATTCTTCCGCTTTCTTTTCACAATAAACTTTGCTACCAAACTCAGAATGGTCGATAACCTATGTTTTCATTCATACAATGAATTTATAAAATCCGCTTATATAATCCACATTTGCATCTGATGAAGATGTGAGCATAAGAAAGACCGTGGTCAACTACGTAGGAATATGCCAAAAAATTCATCGAAAAACGTAGTTGATATATAGTGGGTTTTCTAAAGAATAACGTCGCAATGCTAATATTGTACAAATATTTAAATGAAAATAATAATAATAATAATAATAATAATTATTAATCTATAAGATTTAGAATCAAATCAATTTAATCATTGTGTATATTCGTTATGTATATATATTTTTTGTGTAATCAGTTTGTTCTATAATTGGTACCACGAAGCAGGTTTACATGATTCAATTCCAAATATTAACCACCAAAATGCATAGCAAATTAACATAAATAAATATAAAAAATTTGGTTGTTTAACCCATTTCGCTTCTAAAATAATACGTCTTGCTTCTTTTGGTTTAGAGTGTGGTCCGGTTAAACGATAATGTGCATTCATTAATGCTCCGCACATTAATTTTAACCATAATTTTGGGTCAGTAAAGAAAATTTTAACAAAATTTGGTCTACAGCCGATTATTCTTGATAAATCGTCTGTATATATTAAATAATCCGTTAAAGTCGTAATACGATTAATACGAGCAGGTGTGAATTGCCATTTTAAGTATTTAACATATTTTTGTATTTCTTGTAACATAACTGTTTTTGTTGGTAATTTACATTTGTTTGAACATAATAATGCAAACCAACGTGCTTGAAGTTCTATTACTGGTGGTACAGCACCCAATGATGGTCGAGCAAATCCAATCCAAATCAATTCATCACCAATATCTGGA